TATTTGGAATGTACTGGCTGGTTCAATATCAACTGTAAGGTTCAATCTACCAGAGTTGTCCTCAGTGATCGGTTCGGTCCAAGAAACATTAGCAGTGGGTAGGCGGAATGAAGTATTTACTTTTGTATCGTTTGGACAATTGTAAAAAATTGGTACCTCATTGTCTGCAAAGAAGAATACACGGTACAAGATAATTTTTTTTGTCCGAAAAATTAGAAATTAGTTTCCACTGGCAGTTATACAAAATATAAACAACATAATACAGCAAGAATAAATACAAGATTACATACTGTAAAAGATTAGTAATTAAAAATAAAAACCCAATACAATATCAAAACATGATATTTAAACAACATTTACATAAATCTAAATTAGACTTAAATTAATTATGTTTTAACAGTGTCAATTTTCAAATGGATTGAGTTTGGAACAAAAGAATTTCTATAGAGACAGGTGGTGAGTGGTAGTTGCCACCGGAAGTACTAAAAATAAAGGCATGATATAGAGGACGAGTCGTGCCGTTCATTATGTTCTTACGTTTTGTTAAAGTATGTTCTTACATTTTTGCCAAAGTGTAGTTGTTATAAATGTTATCCAGATGTAGAATATTCTCTTTAATTACTTTCTGTGTAGTTTTCCTAATTTTGTCTAATATATTTACATTTCCTTTTGTTAGGCTTTGGTGTCAAAATTTTCAATAGGCTATACAAATGGTAATTAAAAATCGACACTAGGTTAATTTGTTTTGTATCTGTTTACATACAGGATTTTGTTAGTGCATCCAGGTTTGTTAAAAATTATACAAAGTTTCGATTGATTGAATGGAAAAATAATGATATTTTAACGTTTTCCACAATAAAAAAAATACTGAATATAATTTTGGGGATTGTGTTTTAGTTTTTATTTTTCAAGCTTTACCTAAGACCTGGATAGCAAATTCACATGTGTCAGCATTTTCGTAATCATCCGTTGCTGTGTAGACAATCTGAATAAACGAAGTGGTGACTGGTATCATACCACCTGACTGGTATGGTGCAGCTACGACCGTAACATTGTCATTACTATTGTCACTAGTAATAGGTGGATCCCAGGTGACAGTTGCATATGAACTACCTTCATCTGCCTTCACATATATTATACTTAACATCTCACTGATGTAGTTATTTGAAGTGACATTTGTAGGACAACTGATAACCGGAGGTTCTTTATCTACAAATAAAATAATGTATTATTAACAACAATACATACGATTTTGTACATTGTAAATTTGGATTTGTTCAAATGTTGTTTTCACTGAATGTTATATGTTAGGCTTACCTTGAACAGTGATTGTAAAGGAACACATGTCAGTATTTCCATATGGATCTTCCGCTGTGTACGTCACTAAAGTATCACCTACTTGGAATGTACTGGCTGGTCCAATATCAATAAGAGACAGGGTTCATTCCAAGACACAATAGCAGTTGGTAGGCGGAATGTAGTGTTTACTGTTATATTGTTTGGACAAAAGGTAATAACTGGATCCTCATTGTCTGCAATGAAGAATATCAAACAAAAACTAATGACTGAAACATGTGAGAGAATGGTGTATCTTCTATTTTATATATAAATTTGTTATGAGTTTTAACACGTAGGATTTTAGTAGATGAAATCGCCATCTGTAAGCAATGGAAGCAATAATAGCTGTGTGTATGGATAGGTGGCTGCTATCAGTGAACAGTTAGTTTATAAATACCACTTTAATTTTTTAGATGATATTCTAATAGTCATCCAGAACGGAAATAAAATTGTAAAAAAATGTGTTATTTGATTTAAGAAAGTATTTGTATTATGCACTGTACATATGTATATATACTGTGTATAGAATAATAGAATAAATACCTTCGATCGCTACTATCACATAGCACGTGGCTTCATTGCCTACTGGAAATGCACTGTCAATGAAAATATGTTCAATTTCAGTTTCACCGATTGGTAATACAACAGTAGTCTCAACAACAGTGTACGTCTGGTTAATGGTTATGGTCTTTTGGTTTGCGCCTTGGTAGTTGATAAACATTTCATGAACTTGAACGTTATCCATGATGCTAATGTTGTAGCTCACAGTGCCATTTGCTTTTCCAAGATCTGTTACACCACTAACTAGTGATGGACAAATTGGAACAGGAGGCTCTTTGTCTAAAAATTGAATTTATAGAATAATTAAATATTTGATTAATATTTCCATATGGATCTTCCGCGGTGTATGTTACTAAAGTATCACCTATTTGGAATGTACTGGCTGGTTCAATATCAACTGTAAGGTTCAATCTACCAGAGTTGTCCTCAGCAATCGGTTCGGTCCAAGAAACAATAGCAGTGGGTAGGCGGAATGTAGTATTTACTTTTGTATCGTTTGGACAATTGTAAATAATTGGTACCTCATTGTCTGCAAAGAAGAATACACGGTACAAGATAATTTTTTTTTTGTCCGAAAAATTAGAAATTAGTTTCCACTGGCAATTATACAAAATATAAGCAACATAATACAGCAAGAATAAATACAAGATTACATACTGTAAAAGATTAGTAATTAAAAATAAAACCACAATACAATATCAAAACATGATATTTAAACAACATTTACATAAATCTAAATTAGACTTAATTAAATTATGTTTTAACAGTGTCAATTTTCAAATGGATCGAGTTTGGAACAAAAGAATTTCTATAGAGACAGGTAGTGAGTGGTAGTTGCCACCGGAACTACTAAAAATAAAGGCATGATATAGAGGACGAGTCGTGCCGTTCATTATGTTCTTACGTTTTGTTAAAGTATGTTCTTACGTTTTTGCCAAAGTGTAGTTGTTATAAATGTCATCCAGATGTAGAATATTCTCTTTAATTACTTTCTGTGTAGTTTTCCTAATTTTGTCTAATATATTTACATTTCCTTCTGTTAGGCTTTGGTGTCAAAATTTTCAATAGGCTATACAAATGGTAATTAAAAATCGACACTAGGTTAATTTGTTTTGTATCTGTTTACATACAGGTTTTTGTTAGTGCATCCAGGTTTGGTAAAAATTATACAAAGTTTCGATTGATTGAATGGAAAAATAATGATATTTTAACGTTTTCCGCAATAAAAAAAATACTGAATATAATTTTGGGGATTGTGTTTTAGTTTTTATTTTTCAAGCTTTACCTAAGACCTGGATAGCAAATTCACATGTGTCAGTATTTTCGTAATTATCCGTTGCTGTGTAGACAATCTGAATAAACGAAGTGGTGACTGGTATCATACCACCTGACTGGTATGGTGCAGCTACGACCGTAACATTGTCATTATTATTGTCACTAGTAATAGGTGGATCCCAGGTGACGGTTGCATATGAAAGACCTTCATCTGTCTTCACATATATTATACTTAACATCTCACTGATGTAGTTATTTGAAGTGACATTTGTAGGACAACTGATAACCGGAGGTTCTTTATCTACAAATAAAATAATGTATTATTAACAACAATACATACGATTTTGTACATTGTAAATTTGGATTTGTTCAAATGTTATTTTCACTGAATGTTATATTTTAGGCTTACCTTGAACAGTGATTGTAAAGGAACACATGTCAGTATTTCCATATGGATCTTCCGCTGTGTACGTCACTAAAGTATCACCTACATGGAATGTACTGGCTGGTCCAATATCAACAGTAAAGTTCACTCTACCGGAGTTGTCCTCAGCGATTGGTTCATTCCAAGACACAATAGCAGTTGGTAGGCGGAATGTAGTGTTTACTGTTATATTGTTTGGACAAAAGGTAATAACTGGATCCTCATTGTCTGCAGTGAAGAATATCAAACAAATACTACTGACTGAAACATGTAAGAGAATAGTGTATCTTCTATTTTATATATAAATTTGTTATGAGTTTTAACACGTAGGATTTTAGTAGTTGAAATCGCAATCTGTAAGTAATGTAAGTAATAATAGCTGTGTGTATGGATAGGTGACTGCTATCAGTGAACAGTTAGTTTATAAATACCACTTTAATTTTTTAGATGATATTATAATAGTCATCCAGAACGGAAATAAAATTGTAAAAAAATGTGTTATTTCATTTCAGAAAGTATTTGTATTATGCACTGTACATATGTATATATACTGTGTATAGAATAATAGAATAAATACCTTCGATCGCTACTATCACATAGCACGTGGCTTCATTGCCTACTGGAAATGCACTGTCAATGAAAATATGTTCAATTTCAGTTTCACCGATTGGTAATACAACAGTAGTCTCAACAACAGTGTACGTCTGGTTAATGGTTATGGTCTTTTGGTTTGCGCCTTGGTAGTTGATAAACATTTCATGAACTTGAACGTTATCCATGATGCTAATGTTGTAGCTCACAGTGCCATTTGGATTTTCAAGATCTGTTACACCACTAACTAATGATGGACAAATTGGAACAGGAGGCTCTTTGTCTAA